ACGGTGAGACGGACGTGTAGTTCAGTTTTGGGCACGCGTACGGTGCTGCAGGGATTATATATAGGTGTAGTAGTACCTCTTCGGGCTCTTGTACACCTTTTTCTTGCTACGTGTGCGTGTTCTTTAGATCCTCAGATGGCTCCAGCACTTTCGTGACCACGGGCCGAGAGTCTTTGCTAGATTTTGGCATTTAGCAACTGGCATACGGTTTAATGTGAAGTCAACAACAACAACAACAACTAGTCTAATTATTTATTTTATTTTATTTTATTTGTTTCTGATTATATTTTGTTTTCTTGTATTTTATCGCTCTGCTGACCCTTGGGGTCCATTTTATATGTGAATCAACACACATGTCGATAGGCATCCGAATGAATTGCGAAAAGTTCGAGGGTGCAAGTAGTAGCTACAACAGCAGCAGTCGTAGTCGACCAGCAGTAGACAACTAGACGCTTGGCCAACTCGCTTTCCGCCGAGCGAGTTACCACGTTACCACGGGTAGACGCGAGCCAACCACTCGCTCACCGGTTCGCCATCGACTACGGCGGTCACAGAAGGCTTCGGCCCAGCGCCGGTCAGGTCTATCTCTGGGTCCAGGTCGAAAAACAGGGTCGGGGGCTCCCCGTCTGAGCAGCATCGCAGAATGACGCACATGAGGCAAAACCAGGCAGTCAGCACGATGATGTAGAGCGCGGTGGTCATGGTGTCAGCCATGGCCTCTCCGATCTAGCGTCCGTTCCCGATTTTGTTCAACAAGATAGGTCCGTCGGTCTCCGCCGAGAGTGATGGTAGATGGGGAAGAGGTGACCCGGTGTTTTGAGCACGCCCGAGCACGGCACCCAGCTTCGCCAGATGCCCAGCTTCGCGTCCCGTCGTATCAACTAGTTGCGGAGATACCAACCTGCTGGAGTAGTGTGAGCGCGTGAGCACTGCGCGCCTCCCACGCTTAGATTGACTGCAGAATGCATCCGCCGACAGCAAGGCATCCGGTCGCACGGTCGTTGGTCGTAGATTGCGTAGATAGCATGAGCTACATCCGCGCACCCCCGCACCTTACTCTCAGGTGCTGCTTTGCCCCCCTCAACCCTGGCTCTAAAAATAGCGACAGCTCCAGTTTTTTTGTCTCCGTTTTGGCGCATCATCCATAACTACTCCTGACTCGGTTTCCTGGAGATAAGTGAGATAGGTATCCACTGCTTGCTTGGAACCCGGCCGGCTGGGCGACAAACGAGCACGTGCCTGCCGCTGCTGGTTGCCATCATCATCATGCGAGCCCTCTTCATCCTCTCCTGGTGCTGCTGCTGTGTTGTGCAGATGTTGCTGCTGCCCGTGCATGCGTTCATCCCTCCACCTCGTACGGCGTTCTTCCGGTCGTCGGCCACTGCCGGACCCCGGCAACACACTTCTTCCTTCTCGAGGCCGTCGTCTGCCGACAGCGGCAGCGGCAGCGGTGATTTTTCCTTCAACGATTTGGAACGGGAGCTCAGCCGGAGGAGACAAAAGGAAGAGCGAGAAACAGGGGGACCGGCTGCCTCGTCAAGACCACCACCAGCAGCCAACGCGACCGGTGCTGTGTATTCTCGGGGCCTGGATGAAGGGGAGGCCTTCATGGAAGAACAGATGGTGAGAGTCCGCTGCTGGCGTCGGTGTGCGTCGCAAGGGATAGCGGGCGGGCTTGAGATGCGGCGCAAAGCCAGCACATGCGCCGTTTTTTGGGGGGGTTCAACCACATGCACGCGCACACATGAAACCTGCGGTGCGTGTGTGCATCCCGTCTGCATGTGTCCGTACATGCGTACCACATGCCATTGCATCAACCCTTCCTCTCTTTTTTCCCACCAATTGTTCCCTCGGTTTTCCACTCCGCGCTATGTGTTTATGTCATCGATGCCAACCGTTTGACTGGTTCTGTGTTCTGTATACACAGCAGTGCGGTAGCCGAGCGTGTGGCCATGTTCAATGCATGACATCGACCCTTTCTTCACACCGCTCGACTGCACCACCTCACTACATAGCACCACCTTGCACCGGGATGGCGTGTGTCTATGTTTATCTTTTTCCTTTTGTCTCAGCTAGCTGCTCTCGTGCCTTTCTTGTCTCGACAGTTGGAAGTCGAAAAAAGTGCATGCCTCGTGCCACTGCTTACAACTTGAATTTACTGAAGAATGTCAAATCAGGCATGCCAACGCTCGCAAAAGTTGACCCCGCGAACTTTTCAGAGCGAAACAGAAGAGCCCCGCCCGCTGTTGTGTCGTGCCCCCCTTGACTCCATTGTTGACTCGTCGATTGATCCGTCGATACGAAGGTGCTGCGCAAGAAGCTGTTGAAGGCCTACGTGGTCGTTTTTAACCAGGGGGAGCTCGAAGAGGGAGTCTACACTCTCTTCGTCCAGGTATGTATGGGCGGATGGATGATGGATGGGTGTATACATTGGATTCGATGTAATGATTGGGACGGCAAGACGTGGTGCTTGAGGAAGAGCCAACAGGTGCCCAGCCGGTAGATGGCACGCACTCCATCCGCCTGGTGTTTCCTCCGAGCATGAGAAACTCGTGACAGAGTAACAGATGGACCGCTGGTGCTCTTCTCCGTTCAGACGTTTTTTTCGCTCCACGCAAGAGCTACCATTAACACCGACGAGGAACGCGTCACCACACGATTCGGGAACATTCGTATCTCCGCGTACGATGCGTGTGCGATAACTGTTGTTGCCTGCGGGTGATGACGCGTGATCACGGTACGACAAGGGTCGTTCCGCGTGTTAACTCTGTGCGGTGTGTTCCTGGTACGGTATTGCTTGGGCGCGCAGGGCCGAAACGTCTTGCGCGCGTGGCAGGATAAGCCGGAGGCGGCGAGGTACGCGCTCATGTTGAGGGCCGAGGACCTGCCCTTGGGAAGGCCGACGGAGCTCCCGATGTCGGTGAGCGACTCGCCGCGATGGCGCTGGTTAGCGATGGTGGTACTGGTGTAGCACCTCGCAAGACGGCAGCTTGTGGCTTGATGCTATCGTTGCAGGCATGTTTCGCCTTTTACGATCGCGCGCAGGAGCTGGCAGCAATCGCGAAATACGCAATGAACACCGGGGCAAGAGACTCAAACCACAGCCAGAAGGAACTCAAAACTGTAAGCTCCCCTCGAGCAAACATGCAGGCTGATTGAAAGATGGACGGCCTCGCACAACCCCCTCGTGTTCTTCCCCCCCGCTGTTTTTATGTTCTTCCCCCTCCCGCCGCCCGCTTGAACGGCACTCCTTTGTTTCCTCCGACGTTGGTGCGCGCGTTACATGGGCATGCCCCCTCCTGTGTGTTCGTGCGCCACCACTTCCAGCAAATCATTGAGTTCTGCAAGGACAACGGTGTCGGGTTGGAGATCGTCCCGAGGGGGAGGGGCCTACACCCCCCGAGCAGAAATAAGCCGCATATGTGAGTCGTCAGTCAGAACCCCCACCGAAACCAATAGTCCGCATGTATGCTTACACACAGATGCATGCGGTCTTACCCCGTGGTTGGCGTTGTACGACACGGTGGTGTGTTGCGTTTTGTCGGTTTTACCAGGTGTTTGTTCTGTTGTTGGGCGTAAGGAATGAATCCGTCGATAAGAAACGCTAGGACAAGCAAGAACGTACATACAGAGCTCCAGAATGTTGTTGGCAGTGTTCATCGATGTACTTCTCATCTAACACCCCCCGATCCCGTGCAGGCGCGTGCATGCAAGATGTATTGCATGGATTGGCGAGCATTGTTTTTGCGATGCAGCAGCAGCCCTAGCTTGGTGCCGTTTTGAAAGCATTGGCGGGGCCCCTCGAAAGATGACGCCCGTACGCCAGAGGCAAGAGCAGACGAGAAACCAGGGACGAAAAGAAAAGCATCAAACCACGTAGTGTACACACACAAGGTTTTGCATTTGTACTGGCCCAACCGGTCCATGCCGTGAACATCAGACTTCGTGTGCATTCATAGCCTACCTACCGGCGCGCTACCGCAGCGGGCAGTTTTTGCTTCTTTCGTTCCTTGGCTGAATACCCCCCCCCCCAATGGTCTAACCGCTAAGGCGTGCAAAACAAAAGAGTACCCCCCCCCCCCCCCCCCCCCCCC